CCGTTGGGTCGTTGGGTCACATGACTGAGACCCACAGGCGTGGGACCGTTGGGTCGTTGGGTCACATGACTGAGACCCACAGGCGTGGGACCGCTGGGTCGCTGGATCCACTCGGCCGTTCTAAAGCTATTATTCTCCCCTTCTTAGGCTCCCCAGCCGGCTGCCGGCACCTCATCGTTTATTTATAGAGTTGTTATTGGCCTTTGTCGCAGGCACTTTAAAGACTATACTCTCCCTGTCTTGAGGTGGGGGCGCCGGGTCAGTGGGGGTGCGGCTGGCCACCATTTCCATAAATATTTCAAAAGGGTAGAGGTGCAACATCGAGAGTCACATGACGGCCGTGAATCTGGACCCCCTTGGCTCCCATATGGGGGGTGGGTGGATAAATAAAGTTCTTATCATTGGAGATGCATAATTTTTCTTCTTGTTTGTTTGGCTTGATTAGCATTCTGATTTTCTGCGAGTGGGGAAAAAAAACAGCAGGCCTTTCATTGCGGGAATTCCTGAACGGCTGTGATGGGAAAGAGTGGCGCAATTTAATAAATAGGTTTCCATTGTCTTTGTTTTGGCATTAACTGGCATCCAGCCCAGGGTTTACCCCAGACCCCGGCCTTCTGCCCTGTGCTGCCTGGGAAAGGCTCCAGGCCACTCCCCCCTGACCAGGATGAGTGGTTAAAGGATGGATGGGGGGGCGGATGGATGGTCTTTTTGTTAAACGTTAATTAATCTGCAGGTTTCCCACCTGTTGCTGTTGGCCGCTATGTAGGGACTGGGGATGTCTGCTGGGGACACTGATACCCTACGCTTCAGTTACACCAGCACAAACATTAGTGGAGCCTTCCTTGCTTTTATTAAGTCAGACGCCATCCCTCGTGCCGTCACCTTGATTTGTGTTTCTATTTTTTATTCCCTCTGAAAAGACCATAAAATCGTATTCCGTCAAAACAGTTTTTCAGCAGAGTGCTAATTGAAGTAGTTTAATTATATCTCACGGTAAAGGTTATCGACGCTCAGACGCTTCGCTCTGAATAATTAAAAGGGGCCACATTTGGCTTCGGGAACAATTAAAAAGCATGAGGAATGAGATTGAGGATGAGGCGGGGGGGGGGGGGGGGAATGATGCCCAAGAAAGTGAAGGGAAATGAGCAGTAACTGCACCCCTTGCCCTGCCAGCCTCACTGAGGGCATCTCCTGCACCAGCTGCCAACCAGGGCTAATCCCTAACCAACAAGATGGCCGGTCAGTGAAGGAACGGTCATCTGGGGGCACCAGGTTGGAATTAATCTTTGTCTCTGCCTGCCGAGCCTTTGGCGTATTTCCTCCAAATTCAGACTCTCCGAAGTCTGCTCGCATCAGCGGCTTCGGCCGAGCGGCAGATAGCGGGATAGAGAGGAGCGCCGGTCTTGCACCGCTGTTGTCTCTCTGTGTACGGTCACGGCTCTGGTGTAAGCCAGCGGAGCACGAGCACGGCGGCTTCGGCCGAGCGGCAGATAGCGGGATAGAAAGGAGCGGCGGTCTTGCACCGCTGTTGTCTCTCTAAGTACGGTCACGGCTCTGGTGTAAGCCAGCAGAGCACGAGCACGGCGGCTTCATGACCTGGGATGGCGAGTTTGGAGTCAGGCGCTCTGATGAGGAATTCAAACACGGGCCTGAATGGATTTGGGATTTAACCTGTCATGGTCTGAAAACCTGCCATGTCTGATTTGTATTTTCTTTCTCCACTGTTTTTATCTCTCCAGCACTAGCTCTGGCCGGACCTTCAGTTTGGACCTGGACTCCACAGACGCAGCAAGCACTTCCGGGTCGGCCACCACAAGCGTGTCCTATGATTTCCGGTACGGACTTTCCTCTTTGTCTTGGGTACCCCAATGGTGATGTGGGGTCTCACTTTCGTGCTTACTCACATGAAGACATGAACACAGTTCGGACCAGTTAAAGTCACTGAAATGTCACCTGACTGGTGACTGGGCAGTCTCTTAAGCAGTGTTGGGCACTTCAGATCCACAAGCTACAAATACAGACCAAGATTTTCTCTCAACCATTTGAGTACTTTGTGACTCTTTATACTCAGCTTGTTGGTAGAAACAAACTCTTGGTCTGGATTTGTAACTTCTGGACCTGAAATGCCCAACACTGCTGTTAAGAAGCTGCGTTGTCGATGAGACGAGTGGCTCACTTGGGGGCAGGCATTTCAAGGGACACCTCAATTGAGGACCCTAGAGTAGCCCCCCAGCCGCCCACGCGTCCTGCTGCTTGGGGTTGTATTCCGCCAGATCGGTAACCTGGCAGATGGGAGACCTGTTGCCATTGGCTGTAGGAGGTGATGTTCCCCAAGCTTCTCTTTCAGACAGTGCCTCTGCTCAGGCACACAAAGGCAGTGAAAACGGTTTAGCACAGATGAATGCGGGACTCTACCATAAATGGCAAGTGCAGGGAGATACCAGGGATTATGGATTTGTTGCATTTTTCGACTCTGAGCTTATATGCGCAGGTTTTTGCTGTTACGTATAACAGCCGGCTTTTCATTGGTCATGATATTAGACATGCAGACAGCAGTTGGATCCTACAGCGAATACTGTCTTTGTAAGCCTGACGGATGAGTCAGTTTCCTAATGCTTATTAGCGGTAGAGATATTTTTTAGCATGATCAGCGTTAGTATTCTTCAGCAATATTTATTTTAAAACTGTGGTTTGAATATGGATCCTGTCTCTTAAATATTTAGGAAATTCATAAGGAAAACAGTGAATATAACAATTTTAGTAAATAGTAAAGATAATTATGTAAATCATCTTCCAATTACTAGTATTGACTAAATTAAAAACTATATACACATGTTTCTTGTCACAATTCTAACCCTACTGTAATTATCAAGTATAAAACTACTGTGTTTTGCTATTCTTCTCTGTCAACCTTTGAAGCTCTTTTCCAGTTTATGGTTGGTCAGCCACTATGGGAGGGAGGGAAATCCACTGCTGGCCAAGTGCGCACGCTGTGGGCAGGTTAGACTCCAGGTTGCCTGACTGCATCACTTTGAACTACAGGGGGAAACTTGATACTTGATACGTTATGCTTACTGCCGTGCTACATGATTGTTAGCATTAGGATATGCCAGGCATGCAAAGAAAATGAAATGGCAGATTTAGCAGTGTGGCCAAGTTAAACATTACTGATGGGTTGAGCTTCAGTTTTAACTGGCATTACCTTCACGGCACTCCTGGTTCCTTGACAAAGTGCCTGTACACAGTGACGGAGTAGAATCATAAGCACTCTAGCCAGTCTTTGATACGCAGACAAATATCCTGGTAATAAAAACCTTTTCATATCACTGATGCCAGCTGGACTCCCACCCATAAACTGATTGACCTCTTTATTCCGGGGTGGAAAATGAGATGAGGTATAAAATCCGGACATGACAGAGAGGAGCGAGAGAGGAAGAGGTTGAGGTCAGGGGCGCACTGAGCATGTGCAGATTCCAAGCTGCATGCCAGCTTCCTGTAAACCCTTCACGCTTTTTTAGCCATTCATACCGGAACATGCCGGAGTCCAGGAAAGCTTTTCATTTTCCCCAGTAATGAGGACCCCGTCTTGGGGGGTGGGGGGCGTTCTACGGCGTGCCTGCATTTCCCCTCCCTGCGCGACCTCCCAGCCTCTCTTCGCAGCCTCCTCTGGGGATTTAAAGGGCAGCGCGCAAGTTGGGGCAGCCGGCCCCCGTTCACCTCGCCCCTCTCAGGCTTTATTTTAGATCTGTGCTCTCATTATCCCGCCCGGCTCTGGAGAGGTGGTGTACGGGGGGGTGGGAGTGGATGCCGAGATTCCAGCAGAGGACGGCACGGTCCCATGGCAACTGATGGAGCATCCCTGCTGTGCGACATCGCTAAGGAGCAGATCAAACGGGCCACTTAAAGTAGCCCCCCTTCCCCGTTTGCTTTTATGTTCCAGTATTATGACAGAAGTGTCTCTGCCTGGGGGCTCTGATAAGCTCCCAAATTAGCACTCCCAACACGGGGGTATTCAGTGCTTGTTTTAGATGAAAGCCCCATGGCACCCCCTGCTGGGGGGGTATGAGATGGAAATTCTTGAAAGGCAAGACAGTGTTTCAGATGAGAGGCCTGAAGTTTATCACGTCATTTTTCCAGGTTTTGTATTTTCATGAAATGAATGCCTTTCGGGCTGGCAGAATTCAGAGCAGATGCGGCTCCAATCAGTTCTTCGTTCCTGCCATTAGAAAGCAATCTGTGTGTGTGTGTGTGTGTGTGTGTGTGTGTGTGCAGGTGGACCCATTTTTATCGGTACGGCAGCACAAAATGCTGCGACTTTCATCACACTGTTTCTCATAATTTCCATGTTTTAATTGTGCTTGGAATCTCCATGCCAAGGTTTTGCGATCCGTCACTCTAGAAACAGCAGAGCAGCGGTTGTTAGGTTCAGTGTGAAATGTGGAGATGGAAGGTGGGTAGACAAACCCAAGGCGTGGTGATTAGTGGCCCATGCGGCGACACTGTGTGTGTGTGTGTGTGTGTGTGTGTGTGTGTGTGTGACCTTGACCACATGCTGTGCAGAGCTCTCATCCTGAACTGCACACTTCAGCCAGCATGTTAAAAATAAAGAATCGACCGTAATTTCAGTGGAGGCTGGTGTGTGATCTGAGGCGGCGTGAGGGCCGTCACATCTGCCTTGGCTCTAACAGGCTTCTCCCTCCCCTTTAACAGGAAGAACGTGGGCAGCAGGAAGAGGAAGCTACGTACCTCTAGCTATGCCATGCTCGCCAGCAGGAAGGCCGCGGCCGAGAGCGAGCTGGGCCAGGGGGCCTTGGAGTCCGAGGACACCCCCGAGGCACTCGACGGCGCCATCGACAGCCACACCTTCGAGAGCATCAGCGAAGATGACTCGTCCCTGTCCCACCTCAAGTCCTCCATTACCAGCTACTTTGGGGCAGCCGGGCGGCTCACCTGCGGCGAGAGGTACCAGGTGCTGGCTCGCCGAATCACCGCCGAGGGAAAGGTGCAGTACCTCGTGGAGTGGGAGGGCACCACACCCTACTGACCCAGCTGGAGAAACAGCTGCCAGAGGGTGGCATGCAGTTTAAAAATCCCAAGGGCTCCGCTAATAAATTGACTTCCTTTTCTCCACCTTTTATTTTTTTTTTTTTTGCTTTTTTCTTCCGTCTTTTAAAACTTCACCACTTCTGAGCCTTAGGTCTCTGGGCACGTTCTGTAATGTATTCACAGAAAGCATCGCACAGCCCCTCCTCTTCATATCCTGTTAGAGGAACACGTCAGAGGTATTGGCAAGGGTATGTGATACGCTGCTGCCCCCTAGTGGGCAGAATGAGCACCAGCACCGTGCCGATTTTTTTGCTAATGGTTGATCATGTGACTGCTCTTTTGCTTATCTTGAAAGCCATTGAGAAATGGTGTCATGAAACAACAATGCAATTTGTAAGTGGTGGATTTAAACTGAGCCTTTTGAAATGATGTCCCTAAAGAGTGGGACAATCTCTACACATTTTCCTCCCTGAAAAGACCCACACCAGAACAAGTCATATTGCTATACCCCCCCAGAGAATCACCATGATGGTAATATCATTAAAACAGAAAACTATTTGGAAATTCAAAAGCAAGAACCATCTGCGGTTCTTGAACTACTACAGGAAGAGAAAGCTGCCGTATGAAGTGACAGAATTGTCAGAATTATTGGGATGCTGGAGTAACGTGTGCACTTTGGATGGGGAACTTCAGCAGCTCTCTAGTACTCAGCCTGCATGGGGCTTGTGGCACTGATGCTTGGATCATGTGCTTCTACTCTGTGATGACCCTCAGCTCCACTTCGGAGCGTGGGATGCCGGAGTGAGATGCCCCATTTCGCTGTGGGTTTGTGCTCTCATGCTACTTCCCGCACTGCAGCCTTGTTATGTTTGAGGTAACCATGGTGAACTCGTGTGTTTATGATGCTGCATGTCTTTCTGGGTATTTCAGCAGCTTTTCTTTTGGCAACAGGGGGCATCGTTTGATGCAGCACAAACGTAAGAACTTAGGACGTCCTGTTACTTGTGTTTAATGGCGGCCTTTCACACGTCTTCCTCCATGTTTGCTGTTACTCTATCAGGGGCAGGCTAGTGTATGGTAATCCCCAGATTTACGCTTCTCTCAGTTCCCTCGACTTCTCATGAATCTACCAGAACTTGATGTTTATTTCAGTTGCAGTTTGATCTGGACCCTTTTCTGAAAGGAGCTTCTGTTCTAGCACCCTGAGTCTTTTGGGTGTATGAATTTTGATGTGGCAATTTCAGGAAGCGATAAAAGCAGGAAGACCAAAGGAATGTGGATTTTGTGTGGAGAAGCCTTGGTTTAGTATTTCCATTGTTTATTATTTTTTTATTTTATTTTGGCTGGGCCACTTACACATGATGTCATGTCCTTAAAGGACACAGTGACTTGTCTGAAAGACTAATGTGGAGTCTTTTGCTGTTTAAATAAAGATCTCCTCACCAAAATACAAGAGTAGTAGTTGACCTCAAGGTAGGACAATACTTTGTTTGTGTAATTTAGTGTCATCTATTATAGAGTATAAATAACAAAAATAACAATAGCTTATTTAGTGCTATATCTTATTTGAAATCCTTTGAAGGATTGCTGTACCAGTCAGGAAAATCTGTTAATACTTTCCCCTGTTCATTTAATACTTTCCCCTGTTCATTTCCAAATTTCTACTTTCCCTTTTTTGTTTTTTGCATCCTCTTTTCAAGGTTTTTTATTTTTATACAAATACCCCTTTGTTTTTATGGTTAAATATTTCACACTGGGCTAACAGGGAAAAAAAAAACGTTCTTCCCATAGCCTTGTGATGCACATTTCTGCTCGTTCTAGACACCTTTCTGTGAAGGCACTGTACCTTCACACCCCACACCTGTTTCTTCCAGTATCTGTGTGTCGTGACTTGCTATTCTGATTGGATTGCAGTGTGTACATGAATTAAAAAAAAAGCTACACTATGGCACATCTCATCATTGCTATGAGTCAAATCGTTTGTTTGCTTTGTTGCACTATTTAAGACACTTGGCTTCATCTATGCAATCTGATTTAAAGGTACTTGTAAGACCAAAGCAGTTTTTAAACACATTTCAGAAATTATTACACACTGACAAAAATCGTTGTTTACCCCCATTGTTTAATGTATGCAGTTTGTCCCATCTATTACCTTTTAAGCACTTACTTTGCTGAAAATTACAGTATGACTGTAAATTTAAAGTAAAACAAAATCTAAATATTTATGTCTATTCTGATCTATTTTGAAAAGCTTTTTGTCTGTTAATTTCAGTATTTGATTTTTTTTTATCCAAATATTTTGTTTCCATATAAGCCCTGATTATTATTTTAAAAGGCATAAACAGCATGTGGTTTATGCTTGATGTATGTAGTATTTAAATTGAAGACAATGAGAGGATGTTAAACAGTATAAACTGTCTAACAATTTTTTTTTTTTTGTAACAAACATGTAACAAACTAAGCTTATATATAAAAACCTTGTGTTTCTTTCCATTTCCTACTTTGCTTGTTAGAACAAGTTTGAACCATATCTCCTATTACCCATTTAAAGCATTTTTAAAACCAGGCTGTATATTATGGTGGTAATTTGACTTTCATTGTAAAGACTGTTGAAAGCACAGTAAACTCACCATGTTAGCATACACGTTTGCAGTTTTAAATCTCAATATTGCAAATATTATTTTCTTTCTCTTTATGAATACATGTAAATGAAAATGTTTTTTTTTCACAACCACTCCATTAGTATTCATATTTTTACATTAAAATACTACATGTCAGCATGTTTTTGAATGTTACTTCTGACCCATTATGTTTGATATGTCTTACATGCATAAAATACATTTGTGGACAATTGTCTGTGGTGTCAAAGGTGAACCAAAAGAAAATGTTGTGTGGCCTAAGAGCCAGCAGAGGGTGGCAAAGAGCACATAGAGAGAGTGACGTCAAATTGGGAAATAAACTGATTGTCAGAAGGTGCACTTGGGTGCGTTGAGAAAGTCTCAATTTTTTCTGTCAAAAGCTTCCTGGTGAAAACTTACAATGCCGAATTATCCCTTCTCCAAATCGTGATATCCAAGGTTACACAAAAGTTACAGAAACCTAGCTACAGTTAATAAGCTTTAAATATACATTTTCAGCAACATACACTAGGATGCTACCACATCAATATTGTTACGCCTTTCTCTTCTGTCTGATTTGCCTATAAGACTCACTGAACCAATTCCACCTGTGTATTACATTATCTTGTTGCAAGACGTAAATTTGTGTTACACCTTGTGATTTCGTACTGACCCTGAGCAGTTCTAACAAGTTAAAGAATCCTGTAGTATTAATTGGATGTTTGGGAAGGGCGAGCTGATTTTTTTGTTAGAGAAATCCAATGTATTTATGTAAACAAATCACCCAAGAAAAGCTCCTAACAATAATCAAGCTGATGTTCATCTTTTCTGAATGCCACATAAAATGTATCTGTGGTGTGCCTAATGTTTTTGGTTTTTTTTCCTTACAGAAAGAAAGAAATTACCATAGATGACACATAGTTTTGAGTTGTATTTGCATAGTTCAGTTAGGCCGTTAAATAAAATACAGCATTTGAAATCTTTGGCTGCTCTGGTCCTTTCATCATAGTAGTTATGGCCAGCTATAGGCTGCACAACACTACTGCACAAACATGTTTTATTGTAACCTTATGGACTACCTGGCTGTGAGTATGCTCTCTCGTACCATGGGCTGACTGCCGGCCAGACAGTTAAAATAGCCTCCAAGGATGTGAGCCTAAGGTATAAGGCTAATTTTTCAGTCCCTTCCTCATCCTGAAAGTACATGTTCTGATTTATGTCAATGTATTCTTCAGAAATTAACAGTTCAATAAAAAATGATTACATATGACTTTGTAATTTAGTCAAGTTTATTCATATAGCACATTTTCATGCACAAAGGTTACTTAATTAAAGTGCTTTACACAAAGGGCATGAGAAATAGTGTATGATTTGAGAAATTACAGCTTTAAACATGTTTTTGAATAGTTTTTCATACAAAAAAAATATTGAAAATGCAATCGTTAAAAAAATGGTGTCAACTGTCAATGGCAACATCAAAAGGAAATTAGTTTCTGATTCCTGCCCAGAAAACTGAGGTCATTAAATATCTCAAACTCCTCCATTCAGACCTTCAAGAATAACTATAAAGAGTAAAATACTATCCATAATTATGTAATACAGCTTTTTCTTGCATATAAAAGTAATATTCTACTGGTCACCCTCTGAAAGCATCTCGGTAACCAATACTCACCATTCAGACTTATGACTGTAATCATTATATATGGGAATTCCGTATAATTGAAAGTAGAATTAAACGTTTTACACGCAATACCTAAGAAATGTTTTATAATTCAACTTATATTTCATACAAAATAAACTGAATCAATCTTTTACGTCCTATGCACGGCTTCTACCATTCTACGCTGTTTCAATAGGAGTTCTCTCCTGAGCTGCGGAAAAGACAAACTGTATATCGACATTAGTACACACACACAAATTAAAATATGAAAACAAATGAAATACAAAAATAGTATTACCCAGCATTGCACTCGGAGTTGCTAAAAATGTATTCTTTACATATTTTATAGGCTTATTAAAATTATATTTTACTTGTATAGCTTATATAAGTTATATACATTTTTTATGTTCGTAGGAGACTTTAGCTGCTTTTGGCCTGTGGGCAGGGACGGATTATGGGTTGTGTGGGCCCCTAGGCAAAACGTTCGCGAGGCATGCGCACAACGAAATCACGCCCCCTTTTCGTGCCCGAGGAACCGCCCATCGATCGTCTTAACCTGCGTTGGCGTTAGAACTGTCTTGTGTGTTTTTTCGTATTTGTGCGTCTTTCAACATTCATTCATTTTTATTACTTTATAAAATCCATGTATCACACTTTATTAACAAGTATGTTAAAGGTAGGATGATTAATTATTTCAGTCTATCGAGAAGTTCTGCCTGTAGTTTTAACGCTAGTAATACAATGTGATAAGGTATTTCAGACTAACAGGCTACACTACTCATATTACATGACATTTTCTTTTAATTGTTACTTATTTACTTTAGGACTATCCGCTTTCAGTTCATAAAAATGACATTAGCGTTCATTTTTCAATGGGGTAGCACATATCGATACATATATTTATCAAAACGCGCTACAGTAGGACAACTCGACAAGGTAGGATAAATCCTCAAAACACATTTATGAATTACTTAATAATATCAACAAAGAGAATTGAATAAATACAAGATCATTATTTTCATTTTTGTGAAAAACAAAGGGTGAACCTTGAGCTGATCAGCTATCAAAGTGGAAAAGAGTTGGCCGATGAAGCTGATCACGGCTCCAGAGAGAGACGGGCGGCATGATCTTTCGGCCCCACTGTCAGCGCTGAAGATCTTCGGCCCGGAGGCACAATGTTCGACTTTTTTTGAGTAGCCTAGTTAGACATAAGCCGTAGTGCACTTTACAAATATGCCGGAAAATTTAGTCGTGTAACCCACCTGCCCCATTCGCACGTCTTTGCATTTAAAAGAAAATCTTGCAAAAAGTAAAATAACCGACTTACAAAATAAAATAATCGACTACAAAGTTTGCCAGGATTCCAGTTGAGATTTCGGTCCATACAGCCAGTGCGTGTTTGCTGCTTCACCATAGACAGCTTTGTATTATCTATATGCAGTTAACAACTAACACAAATAATTATGCACGTCAAACATGATTATTAAACAAGATCTGTTTTACGGACCTTTTCTTTTATATTGCATTATTCATTGTTTAAAGTTGCTGTTTATTAAATCATTGTCATATTTTACAATGTTGACCTAATGGTCAAGCAGATTTACAGACTGGGGGGGGGGGAAACGTACTGAAAAAGCGACTGAAAACTACGTTTTATCCAAAAACTAAAGAAGATCTTGCAGTTACACATTGTGGATAATAACCCCCGTCTTGTAAAGGCTTGGGGGAGGTTTACATGAAAGAAGGCAAACTTTGGTTATGTGGGTTAAGCAGCTGAGTGTTTGCTTAGTACACGTCCTTCTCCAGGAGGATCCCCCTAGTAAAGTGGGTTAAGCAGCTGAGTGTTTGCTTAGTACACGTCCTTCTCCAGGAGGATCCCCCTAGTAAAGTGGGTTAAGCAGCTGAGTGTTTGCTTAGTACACGTCCTTCTCCAGGAGGATCCCCCTAGTAAAGTGGGTTAAGCAGCTGAGTGTTTGCTTAGTACACGTCCTTCTCCAGGAGGATCCCCCTAGTAAAGTGGGTTAAGCAGTGCAAGTGCTTTGTCACAAGAATTTATCTTTCTAAAGTTTAATCTGAATCTTTTTTGTCTCAGAGAAAAAGACAAAGAAGTGCTACACGGTGTGAGTTGATAATATGTATATATGAGCACTATTTAAAAACATCACAGTATGACAGTTTTGTAGTGTTTTATTGTTGATTAGTATAATATTTAAATAGATTTAGATTGGCCCAGGCAGCATAATTTCTTTGATCACTGGCAAATTAAAAGCTACTGATCAGAGCTTAGTTTTGCACCTGAAACCAGACCATTAACCTTGCTGATCAACTGCTAGAACATGAATTTGTACCACAGGCATTTATATGAGAAGTTAGGATTTACTATGTTAGTCATTTAATCTTTCAGGAAAGTCTGGATTACACAGAGCAAGTCAGTCTGACCTGTGATGGCCTGGCTTTTTTCTTTTATATCCCAAGGATGCAGCAGCGCTTGATTACCCACAATGCTGCTGTGCTTTCAAGCACTGCCTGATTACAGCAGGTAATCAGTAACCAGCTCAGGGATACACATTACTGAGTATAGCTTGTTTGTGGTACTGTTCATTTAATAAGTAGTAAGCCTTGTTTGGTGAAACTGTTGTAACCCCAGTTATGAAGTGTTTTCAAAACAGGGTGAACTTCAGGCATATTATTTGTTGAATACAATAAGAGTCATTTTGTTTCTTTAAATAAAGATAAACATACATAATTTGCTTAAAACTGACTTAGTAATTTGTGTCACAGACACAGTGTTGCATGGGGCAGGCAGAAACAAGGGTGACAATCCACTGTCGGCTCACGAGACAAGGGGTTTATTTAATACAACGAGAAACACACCAGGGAAAATAGAAACTAAACAGAGCACTTAGCTACTTAGCACACAATGACTTACTGAACACAGGCAGGCACTTAAATACACAGGAGCACCAGGGCAAACATGGAACAGGTAAAATTAATAATCAATTGACCAATCAAGAGAGACACAGGAACAATGAGAAACAGGTGGAAGTGGAAACACTAAATGAGCACAAAGACTAGGGAACTATAACAACCACCAAGTCAGAGAAGCACTAGAGACTAGGGAACATAACAGAGGGCTGACTACAGTAGGAAAAAATAATCAAAATCAAACAGGACACAAGCAGGGCTAACCAAAGCAGGAAAGCAAAGAACCAATAAAAACAACAACAATCAATAATTAAACCAAACAGGTGAGTCTGGCTTTGAACTCTTGACTGTAGGGTTACAGCCTCTGTGCCACACATTCAAACCTCTGAGCCATGCAGCAGTCTGAGGAGCTGGGGAGCACTCAAGGGTTAGACAGGGAGTAAGACATGGCCAAACATGGTAGAGACATGAAGGGTCGGGTTGGATGGATACTAACCCTGACAAATTTATGTATTATTAAAAAGTTAATTTTTATTTGCAACACATTTCTCTTAACAGCAGGCTGGTTTAATAGTGAGAGTTCAAATACCTCACTGTCATTGTTTGTGTGTTTGAATCCCACCCCTGCTCTATTTTCCACATTGGTTCGCTGCTTTCTGAGAAAACCCTGTAAGTCATTATGGAAGCTGAGCAGTTCTCTTGGGCGGTATGACTTTACCACTTGTATTGTTTTTTTACTCATCCCAGACAAAATCATTTTTGTTGACTTCTGGGTATTTTCATGCATTGCAACAAATCTTTTTTCTTTTGAAAAAAGATAATAATTTTCCTCCCCCCCCCCCCCAGTCAATAATTATTTATTTTCAGTCTGGTTTGCTAGTTTGCAACAGCGCCATAAAATGTTTATGAGCAGGCTTTCATAAAATGTGTCTGAGGTTTTGCACAATGGAAACATTCCCTCTGAGTATCAGGTTCTCCAGGTACTGGTAGCCTGTGGAGAATCTTGTCGCCACCCCATGAATGTAGAAACATTCAGACGCTTTTACAAGGTTGGTAGTGGCTATGTGAATATTGAAGCCCGGCTCCTAATTTTTTAAATCCACAAGCACTTTGACCGGCAAATGGGAAATAACCAAGCTGGATGTCTAACAAAGAGACTTGCTTGCAAGTGCATCTCACTCACCCTGTAATAAATTTCATTTGTAGATTAGCTTCTCTCCTATTTTTGTGATATTACAGAAATGGGTTTTTGCTAAATTCATGAAGAGTAGCAGGTGGTGCTCTGCATGGTGCACAAGGCTATGTTAACAACTTCACAATCATTGTAATGACACTGGAACAGTGATCTCTGTCCCCCACTGTATAATGATAAATCATTTATTTGCCATTTGCAC